AAAATGCCAACAAACGTTGTCGAGGCAACTATTTTTTGTGGAAAGGCCTGCGGAAGACACGAAGTTTGATGAGGCAACTACAGGGCGTTGTGACATTTGTGTAATAGTGTCACTTATTTTGGGAGAATTTCGTCACCCGAAGTTCTAATAGCCTTGCACTTCGATTTTGAAACTAGCATTCTTTTGTCATATTTATAGGGTGCAGCTTTTAATCAGTACTTATGTTGCTTGGAACTGACGGAGCTGCAATGTGCTCGACAGCATGTGTTCGGATGTACAACGGAACAAAAATGTGTGTCAATATCATTACACACTGTTGTTTCAGTCGAATCGTTTTGGTCCCACGTCGCCACGGTTCCGTGTTGCCGAACATGCCTTCACATGCCTTAATACATCCACCGCATGGATTGGGGTGCAGGATGTGAGAGACTTAGCCAACCCAACCGTCGAACTTCACCGCGCGTGGTCACCTGCACACCTGAACGGATGTGAGCACCGGTGTAATTATATGCCATTGTCTCAGCCGCATTGTTTTCGTCCCGTTTAGCTGCGAGCCTCAGCTGCCAAGTGTGCAGTGGCACGGCTGGCTGTCCGCTGGGCTGAGAACCGTCAGCACACAAGCCCACGAGTCCCTCACGACGACGGATCCGCCCCACACGGCTCACTCACGACTCACTCCCGACAGACCCGCTCCAGCACGACTCACGACTCACTCACGGCGACAGGTCGCCCAACACGGCTCACTCACGACAACAGAATCACACCAGCAACAGACCTGCTCCAGCACAGCTCACGACTCACTCACGACGGACCCGCTCCAGCACTGCTCACGACTCACTCATGACGACGGACCCGCTCCAGCTCGGCTCACGACTCACGCACGACGGACCCGCTCCAGTTCGGCTCACGACTCACGCACGACGACAGACCCGCTCCAGCTCGGCTCACGACTCACGCATGACGACGGACCCGCTCCAGCTCGGCTCACGACTCACTCATGACGACGGACCCGCTCCAGCTCGGCTCACGACTCACTCATGACGACGGACCCGCTCCAGCTCGGCTCACGACTCACTCATGACGACGGACCCGCTCCAGCTCGGCTCACGACTCACTCACGACAGACATGCTCCAGCTCGGCTCACGACTCACTCACGACAGACATGCTCCAGCTCGGCTCACGACTCACTCATGACGACGGACCCGCTCCAGCACGGCTCACGACTCACTCATGATGACAGACCCGCTCCAGCTCGGCTCACGACTCACTCATGACGACAGAGCCGCCCAACACGGCTCACGACTCACTCATGACGACAGGCCCGCTCCAGCTCGGCTCACGACTCACTCATGACGACGGACCCGCTCCAGCTCGGCTCACGACTCACTCACAACAGACATGCTCCAGCACGGCTCACGGCTCACTCGCAACGACAGATCCGCTTGAGCGTGGCTCACCACAAGTCAAGTCGTCGGCGGTGGGCGGGGAACTGAACGCGGCATTGTGCTTAGACAAAAACGGGGAATTTGGCTGTGACAAAAGTTTTGGATGCTTGCGGCAAGCGTGTTGATCCCATCTTGCCGTGCCCCCTGCCCTCCCCTTGCCAGACCAATTACTGGGTTTCGACGTGCGTCACGGTGAGCTTTGGCCAATTTACGCATTGCGAATTTGGCAAAATGCGAATCTCGTGCTTCCCATACTGCACCAATGGGGCACGTTTGCACGAGCCGACGGCGACCCACTGACCGAATCCGGTTCCAAACTTTAGGAAGCGATGCGACCTTGCTGACCTAGCCGTTCGCCAATTTCCACATGGCCAGTGGGCACTGGTGCCGAGCTGCGACTGAACATGTACAGGACGGCTGGAAGGACGATACGGAATTATGATTTTACATTTTATGAATTGCATCAGATTCGATCAATACACATGATCAGATACATCAGATATTGTTATATATATTTTTAAGGATGCAATCTGAACCTTTTCAAAACATCAGTTTTTGGGATCAGAGCTCACGCTAAGCCGTGCTTGTTGTGTGAGCACTGGCCCCTGCCATCCGATCGTGCAAATTGACGCCAACGGCAGAACTTGGTGGCGAAAGTTTAGCATGTCGTAATGCTCGGCATGGTCCGCCCTGTCCTCTGACGTCACCTGACCTTTGGCACGGCTGTCGCCAACGGCCGCACTTCATATCTGTCGAGGGCAAATAGCGAGCGCCTGAAGTGACTCGAACCCATCCCGTCACGGGTAGTAAGATCGGAAGACACGCGCTCTAACCAGCTTTCATATCTGTCGAGGGCAAACAGCGAGCGTCTGAAGCGATTCGAACCCATCCCGCCACGGGTGGTAAGATCGGAAGACACGCGCTCTAACCGGCTGAGTCCTCGGGACGGACTAAACGCACTGTGTGTTCATAGGAACAACTCAACGTTGTGTCCGGACAACCAATGGAACTAACGCAGCGAAATAACGACCGCAAGGTTAAGCTCACGCCCACACCTACCCGAGCTCCGAATCATGACGCTGAAGGACATTCCCTGAACCTGATCTATAGACACCTTGAAACAACAATGTCCTGCGCCGGAAGGCGTGGTTACCCATGCGGACCCCTCCACGTCACCGTGCGGACGCGGCTGCACGCACCACCGACGGCGCGTGCTTCCCAGAAGGTCGAACGTGTTCCCTTGTTCGAACCGATCGCTAACGAGGGGCCGTTTGCTTTCGCTCCCGGCAACCGCAACGACGTTCATCCCCATCCGAGTAATCAGTTGGTCACAAATACGTAATTTGTCAGCGGCGGTGTTCAAGAGCACATTAGGGACAGCACGCGGGCAGGTACTTGCCAGAGCTAGTCGGTGACAACGCCGAACCCCCACGGCGTGAAGGGACACGCACGCGTAAAGCCAGCACAAGGAGGGCGGGCCGGGCACCGCAGCCGTCACACGTGACGGCGAGACGGCTGCTGGCGGCCCGTCACCGGTGTGGTAACGCTGAGCCAGCGCGGATCGTGACCTCGGCCGAATCGTGTCAGCACAGCATTTACCTCACACTGACACGTGTGCGGCAATGACATACATGGCGAGTCTTTCTCCAGCCCCAAATGGCATGCAAATGTGCCGTTTTCCAGTATGCCCACTCGCAATGCGGTGGAAGGCCTCACGTCTTAGCGCCAGCTGCAATATGCCGGAACTGCTGAGCTGCCACCGTGCTCATTTACAATTACCACATTGTCAACATCTTCAGCCGCTTCTCGGCCGCTGACAACGGCCCCAAGCTCCCTGCGCCCCGCTCGCCCCCCCCCCCCCCCCCCCCCTGCTTGTCGACCAGAGCGGTGCCCCCTCACCTCAAGGTGGCGGCTGTACTTGGCTGCCGTGCGCTCGTTGTCGCTGCTCAGCTGCTCGTTCTTCTCGAGCAACGCCTTGCCGAGCTCGGCGGCCAGCAGCAGGTCCTGCTCCTTCTGCGCCAGCAGGGTGCGCGCCGTCGCCTCATCCGCGGCCATCTCGCCGCCGCCGCGTTCCACGCACGCCGCCCGCGCCATCCGCCTCGCCCACGGGTCGGGTGAGGTCAGGTCAGGTCAGGTCAGCGCGGTTCCGCATGTCACGTCCGACCGGTGTTGGTCTCGAGCTGCGTGCGGATCGGCCGCCGCGGCGCCCCTCGACGCAGTCCACCTGCTGAGGCGCAGGCGGCCGCGGAGACGGTGCCGACGGCGCTCCCGCCCGCCCGCCGCCGGCCGCGCACCTGTACACACTGATTCACCGGCGGGTCGACACCGGCGCCGGCACGCTAGGTCCGCCCGCTGGTGTGCTGGCAGCGCGCCGCCCCGGCCCCACGGCCGGAACGAGTCTATGCTTGTGGGATCACCTCGGGATTAGCCGACTGGGTCGTTCGCTAATAGCGCACAAATGACGCACCACGGACACAGGTAGAAAATACACGGCACATTTATTCATGGTTCATGATTTACATGGTTCAGGGTTTATAAATGGCTGAGTATGAAAACTGCATTCCAAAACATGCAATTTCACCATTCTGCTTTACACATAGTGCGTTTTACCCGACGACAAACCGTACACAATGGCAGTGCGGTGAGCTCCACTTCAGAACACAGTGTATTTGCATGTTAACAATGAATACTGAACTATTCGCGGCTAATGAGAACTGAGTCCGCTTGCATAGTTATAACACAAACCCGGAGTGGCGCGGCCGTGGATGGGACGGATGCCGGCCCGCCGACACGGTCATGACGGGACTGGGTACGATTCGTTCCGGAAGAGCCGACCGAGCGCCGGACCGCTGCCGCTGACCATCGCCATGACAACCATTCCGAAGACCAGAGCACGCGCCGGCCACCTCCGGTCAGCAAGTATGCTATGTACAATCGCGCAGTCACATAAATATGCATACTGAAAATGTCACAACTAATGCCCTACGCTGCCAAATCGATTCGGACCGCACAAAAATGAACGATTTCGTAAGGCTCCGCGGAGCAGCATGATCAGAAGAGATCAGAAGAGATCTCTTGATCTCTTCTGATCTTCATGATCAGAAGAGAAGCTGACCAACTAAGCCCAGACATTTCGTAAAAACGCGACGCCCATAAAACATGACAAACTTAAGCAAGCTGCAACCTAAACCGCTTTCGGACGTGTCTGTCCGCCCACAGACCAGTCGGAAGTATTCGCACTGGCCACAGCCGAACAGCAGCGGCGTGGTGCCGACAGACGGCCGCCGACCGCGCCGGCGAGCCCCGACCCGTCCCGCTCCGGCCGACAGCGGCGGAGCTCAGCGCCGCACCGGCCAGCCACCGGTGTTTGAGCCCAGCCGCAGACCCTGCCGGACGCGTCCGCCGACCCACTGAGGCGTAAAGCATCACCGCACAGCGCTGCCGCGACCTGTGGCCCAGCGTGGCGCAGCACAAGCCCGCGTCACGGCGCGACGGGCCCGCCCGCTGCGACGGTCCGCAGCGCCGCGCGTCACACCCGGGACAAGGTGGGACGCCTACTGCTGCGGTCGGACGTAGCAGGAGCGCGTATAGTCTATCATTTGCCGCAGCACGGCGCTCAGCACGAACTCGGCGCTGTAGATGGCTGCGGACGGAGTGGGCAGGCGTCACGCGCACGCGGCCAGACGGAAGCGTTCCGAACACATTGGTCACACAACATAAAACGGGGCCTAACAGCGGGGCTTATTGGGGTCAGCGGAAGAAACAATGCCACAGGTCGGGGCTCGCATAACCCTGCATTGGTCGCTTTCGGATAGCGTCCTCCTCCTACTTACAGAGACCGTGGGAAAATCTGGGTATCTCTGCGCTGGAACTTCAGGTCTACATCGGCACAGGCATAATGATTGACCACGAATGACCACGACCTTCAGCAGTTTTCTCCGTTTATCAGCCTTAACTGCGGGTAGCACGCAGAAGTGTCGCAGAACTCCCGTCCAACGGGGATCTCTATGCGTGGCGGCCACTCCCCAGCGGGAGCGGATCCGCTCTGACCACGGCGCCCCGCCCCGCCCCGCCCGCGCCACTCACGCAGTCCCGCCTTGAAAATATCCTCCACCAGGTGCAGGTCCGTCTCGCACGTGATGACGTAGTGGTTCTGGAGGCGTGGCTCCTTGAGCGCCTTGAGTGGGCGGCGTCGCTCCTCGACTGTGCCGCCCGAGCACTGGATGATCTCGGTCAGCGCCCGTCGGCTCGGCACCACGCCTGGGGTGATGTGGAAGCTCATGCCCTGCCGGCGGCGCGGCGGCGTCAGCGCGAGCCGGGCGCAGGAGGACGAGCAAGTACGGTTGTGACGGACCACACGGGCTCCCAAGAGAACGGGACGACGCGTCTGGATCTCCAGTGGAATCTGCGGAGTCACTGAACCCGGGCATGATCACACGGGTACTTGACCGAGAAGGGAAGCGTTTCATAAACCTGCACTCAAGTCCGCACAGGAAGCGATGTTGGCACCGGCTCCAGACGCGCAAGCCTGGAGTGCATCTACGAAGCTGCGGTAGGCGGTACTACAGCTACAGTGCATTTAACTACACATCACCAAACTACGGTAGGCGGTACTACAGCTATAGTGCATTTAACTACACATCACCGAACTCAGCACTGCTAGGCATCGCAGCCCACCGCCTCACAAGCCGTCCAATAATGAACTACGCCCAGAGCGCCTGACCCGCCGGCACTCAGCCGGGCTCACCTTGAACAGGGCACACCGGTCTGTCTTCGCGAGCGTGGCGGCTAGCGAGAAGTTAAATCGCTTCTCGAACTCGGCGTCGGCCAGCAGGAACGGCTGCTCGGGCAGGAAGCGGCCCTGGCGACCGCTCTCCTCCAGCCAGCGCTGGGAGACGATCAGCGAGCAGCCAGCCAGCGCCGAGAGGAACTTGACGGTGCGCTGTAGACGCGCCATCACCAGGTGCGTGGCTTCGGCGGCGCCGCTCGCCAGCGTGCCGCCCAGCCGGCGCACCGTGTCGGCCAGACCGGGCGTCGAGCAGGCCGACAGCAGCACACGCGGCGGGCCGTTTTCCGGGTCGGCCGGCGGCGGCGGCACGCCCGGATCGGCCAGGTTCGGTGACAGCGTCGTCTTCTTGGTGGCCCGGTCCGCCTCGATCTCCTGCAGCTGGGAGCGGCGCGGCGCACAGGTCAGCGCGCGCTGCTGCGGGGACGTCGGGCGCTTCCCCGCTCAGGGTTGTTCCCAGCACCGACACACGCGGCGCGCCGAAGCTGGGCGGGCCACGGCCTCGGTAGAAGGCGCGGGCAAAAACCGGTCCCGGCGGTACGCGCCGAGCGCAGAAGCCGATGCCATTCACAGCTTGGTGGCGGCAGTAAGCGAAAAAGTGGAGACACATGGCACGATGCAGCCACGTGTGCAGATGTAACCGCACAGACGCCTGACTAACATTCCTATATAAGCTGCTGGCTGCACCAGAGAGCGAGAGCGGCTCCTGCAAAGTTAACAGCGTGCTACAATCTCACGAACGTGTGATTACGAGATTGACCGATGAAGTGCTCGATCTGCAAAGCGAGGAACGCCCCAACGCAGAGAGACAATGGCCTCGCTCGAAAGCTCACCAGCCCACCCATATGCATCGCAGCCAGACGTCGGACAGGCACCACACAACGGTCACGTTGCTCCAGGCCCAGCCGGCACCCCAGGTTGCTCACCTTGCGCTTGTTGCGCGGCGGCGGGTTCTCCTTGAAGCGGCTCCAGATCTCGCGCGTCACTATGATGGGCGCCTTCCAGGCGGCCATCAGGTGCGGCACCAGGTTGTAGTCGATGCGGAACGGCTCCTCCAGACTGAACTGCTGGTACTTCTGGTGGGCGGCCAGCTGAACCACGCTTTGGTTGCCCAGCAGCAACTCGTTCAGCCACTGCAGATTCACCGCCGGCGTCTTCCACTCGCGACTCTTGGCGTACTTGGGACCCTCCGGTCTGTCCGAGCCGAAGGCGAGGTCAGGCTAGGTCAGGTCACGTTGGTCGGATCAGATCAGGTTAGACATGCAAGCGCAAGCCACAGCAGCACCGAGCATGAACGCTGGGGTCCAGCGCACGATACCACGCACGATCGCTTCTCGCAGCACATTCGAGATCCCAGCACAGTCGGCGCCCTGCAGACATCGGCCGTGAACTCCTTTCCGCCCCATCCATCGCGGTCCCCCGCCGCACGCAGCCCCCACTGATGTGGACGTACTTGCGACAGATGAGCGTGGTATTGTGCCGCGTGAAGTAGCCCGTGTACTTGGCACCGCACGCCTCCACCATGTGCTTCACGCGGCGACGCTCCTTGTCCTCGAAGCCCGATATAGTAATGATGAGGTTTTTACCCGGCTTGTCAGCGTCACTGAGGAAAGGGGGGAGGGGTGTTCGGTGGTGCAGCGCACATCGTGTTGACGACATGCTGTCCGGCCGGCGGCGGCCACTCTCAGCTCCACTCAATAACTGCATCCACACAGTCCGAAACCGTGCGATAGGTTGTAGTAAAGTGGTGGCGACCGTAAGCCTGGTGCGGGTTCATTTTCCTTTGATTGTTTCTTCCCTGCATATGCTCGTGTCCATTTCTGAAGAAATTAAGTACGACATACCTCCCAGCCCGACGAGGAAGCAGCCCAAGACTCCAGTACAATGTGGGTGAAACTGAGCATTTAACATAATCTAATGATGCATCTCAAAGCCAGCAACACAATCCGGACCACCCGACAACTGGTAAACTGCCCGCATCACAGCTGACCGGCACCGGCTTCAACGATCGAGCCATCGACCCGGGCCCTTCAAAAACAGCAGGCACACGTACGGCCCACCGGCGCCCGGTGCATACCTGTACGAGACGGGCAGATGGAGCGCCTGCCACGGCGGCGTCACCTTGTGCTGCAGGATGATGTCGTTGAGCCAGTAGGCCGTCACACAGCGCTTGTTGTCCCGCATGGCCTGAGGGCAGCGGTGTGACGCGCGGCGTCGGTCTCCGAGGGCGGTGCTGGCGGGAGGGGTCGGGACGGACGCCAGCGGACGGGGCCGACGTCTGACAGACGCCAGCAGTGACGCCCACGTCCTGCCTCGCACGGGTTTCCATCGCGCCCTCTCGACTCGACAGTGGCGCCACCAAACCAAAGCCAAGAGACAGCGCCAAGATCCACGCCACCTCACCCGGCCACGTCGAGCCCTCCCAGCCCAGTGGAGGTCCTGTCCCTGTCCGTGTCCCACTATCCCTCTGTCCCCCGCCGCCGGCCGGCAGCCTTACCGTCTGCACGATGGCGTTCTTGAGCTGGAGGCAGAGGATGTGCGTGACGCGGCCGCTGTACGTCTGCTCCACCTCGCCGCCGTACTGGCTGATCACCTTGCACCAGGACTTGAGCTCGTCCACGGGCGTGCAGTGCTGGTAGTCCACCAGCAGGAACACGCAGCCCAGCAGGCACAGGTCGGGCGGCACTGCCGGCGCCGGGGGAGGCCGGTCAGTTCTCGCGCCGCGGTCCGACCTCCGAGCACGCGGCCGGCTCGTCAGACGCCGGACGCAGCGCGGCGGCAATCGGGCGCGATCACGGCGAGGTCGGCGGTGGCCGCCGGCATATCGCACCACAGACATCCACGAGTCCTACTGCACTCATCGTCACCCCGCCGCTGCGCCCGGCTCGGCCTCTCCTGACCAGGAGCCCTGTCCTGCCCTGACCTGACCTCACCCGACTCAGTCTGACCCGACCTGGGCTCTCAGCCGCCCTGAGTCGACCCGTGCCCGACTCACGGTTGAGGGTGGGGTCGTGGCCGTAGTACTGGACGCGGACGGCCGGCTGCTGGCCCGGCTTTTGCGGGCTGACGCCCAGCCGGTAGGCGGCCTGCGGCGGCTGGCCGACCGGCGCCGTCGTCAAGCCGGCCTGCTGGAGCACCGCCATCTTGGCTGCCGGGTCCGCCGTCACTGCCGGCCGTCGGGGGCACGGTCACGAAGGGAGTTGTGGGCACACATAACAATCACAGTCCAGGAACCTTATAGCCCAGTAACTAACTGCCTGGGATTTTGGTGTACCTGTCAGTCTTCGGCGCGTACGCTTACACTAAGCACGGTGCTGGGCGTACCAAAAACACGGGACAGTCTGGTATTGCGTAGGACTGTGGCCCCTCCTCCACCAACAGGCGACAGACAGCTCGCAAGCCCCCCCCCCCCCCTCCCCCCTATCCCACTGGCTTCTGTTCGAGCCGGCCGTCCCTGGAGCCTCGGTCGCAGAGCCGTCGGCGGCGGCTCACCGTTCTGGCCGGCGGCCGGCGGCGCGCGCGGCTCGGTCGGCGTCGTCTGCACGCTCTGCGGCGGCGTGGTCAGCACCGGCGTGCCCGGCGTCTCCGGAGTGGAGGAGCCGCTCATCGGCCCGCTCGACAGCCGGTTGTTGAGCAGGTTCGCCAGCGCCGTCTTCGTCTTGGGCTGCACCAGGTTCTGCTGGTTGTTCTGCGTTGCGACGAAGGGGGTTGACTCGCCATTAGAAAGCGTGCCTTCTATTATATCATGGCAAGCTTTTCATGCCTCATTTCTACATCACAAAAACGTCCAGGACTCGTACAGACTTGCTCAGAGTACATACAAAGTAAAAACACACAGTACTGAAAACAGAAGTCTGGGCCAGACCTCACAGTCTCTCCGCCTTCGAGTGATCTGCCATTGCCCCCCCCCCCCCCCATCCCTCTCCACGGCAGTGGGATATCACCAAACCGGCAAACGGTCCAGTCGTTCTTCTGACGCACCAGGATCTGCTGTCGCATCTCGGGCGTCAGCGCCTGGCCGTGCGGCAGCACCACCTGCTGGCCGCCGACCTGCACCAGCCGCTGGCCCGGCTGCAGCTGGCCAGGGTCGCTCTGCTGCCGCAGCAGCAGCTGCTGTGGCACACCGGCCGCCACTGACTGTGGCACGCTCTGCTGTCGCTGCATAAGCTGTCGGTGGGCGGAAGCGGCGTCAGAACGGCGCACGATAGGCGGATACCGCGTCAGAACGGCGCGCAGTAGGCGGAGGCCGTGTCAGAACGGCGCGCAGTAGGCGGGAGCTGAGTCAAAACAGCGCGTGGTAGGCGGGGGTTGCGTCAGAACGGCGCGCAGTAGGCGGGAACTAAGTCATAACAGCGCGTGGTAGGCGGGGGTCGTGTCAAAACGGGGCGCGGTAGGCGGGGGCCGCATCAGAACGGCGCGAGGTAGGCGGGGCCACGTCAGAACGGCGCGGCGGCCACAGGACGCCACCCAAAGGCAACATCAAAGTAACGGCCCTACCACGGTGCAATGTCACCTGGCAGGAGCTCGTCAGATGTGCCAGTAGGGTCGGCATTCCATGCGTACCTGCTGGACGCCCTGAACAGTCGCTTGCTGACGCTGCACCAGCTGCTGCTGCATGCCCAGCACGGACGGCTGCTGCTGCTGCAGCGGTTGGCGCATCTGCTGTCCGGCCACGGCCTGGTCCACCACCTGCTGCCGCTGCACCAGCTGCGCCGGTATCATTCCACTCGGCTGCTGCTGCTGCTGTTGCTGCTGCGGCTGCGGCTGCGGCTGCGGCTGCGGCTGCGGCTGCGGTTGCGGTTGCGGTTGCGGCTGCGGCTGCGGCTGCGGCTGTGGCTGTGGCTGTTGCTGTGGCTGTGGCTGTGGCTGTGGCGGCTGCGGCTGCGACTGTGGCTGCTGCGGCTGCTGAGGCTGTTGCTGTTGCTGCTGCTGCTGCTGCTGCTGCTGCTGCTGCTGCTGCTGCTGTTGCTGCTGTTGCTGCTGTTGCTGTTGCTGCTGTTGCTGTTGCTGCTGTTGCTGCTGTTGCTGCTGTTGCTGCTGCTGCTGCTGCTGCTGAGCGGCCATCGTCTGGCGGATTTTCTCCAGGTTCTGCTGCACCTGCTGCTGGATGGGCTCCTGCGAGTCGGACGGCATTTGCGCCGGTCGCACCTGTCCGCGTGCGGGCCAGTCACACGCCGCACCGCAGCCGTCGGCTGACGTCACCGAGCTGTGCTGCGTCAACGGCAGGGTGACCAGGTGGGGCACACGTGCGACGCGGTCGCTCCGACACACCAATGGTTGCCCGAACAGCGCATCACTCAGTTATGCCTACAAAAAACGCCACTTGCAGCTGGGTCAGTTGGACCCGCCCTCAGCACAGAGACGGCTCGAACCGACACACAGCATTCACGTGAGCGACACCCGGGCGGACGGCGACGGGGGCGTGCCGTACCTGCTGGATGATCTGCTGGGCGGGGGCCGGCGGCCGCGCGATCTGCGTGACCATGCGCGGCGTCTGAGGCTGCCCCACCGGCACCGGCATCGGCATACCCTGCCGCACGGGACGCACCACGCCCTGCCGGCCGGAGCGGGCGCGGCGGTGAGACACGGCACCCGTCGCCGGCGCTACACGGACGCCGCCACAGCGCAGCGGCGAGGACGCGGCGCTCGCGGCGGCGGACGGCCGGGCGCGCGCGAATGCGAGGTACGCCCGGAAAATTGGGCGGAGGGTTTAGTCTTGTGCTGAAAACCTACAGCGGTGGCACGACAGCAGCCTTTTTAAAGACTTGCCCCTGCGATCTACACCGTGACGTGGCTGATCACGCCAAGATAATGTGGATCGTGGAAATGGACGAACGAACCGACGAAAGCCGAGAGTCACGAATCAACGAAACTTGCAACTTGTGAAAAAGGAAAACTAACCTCACCCATGATAGATCGCAGACCGGAATGGGCAGTCAGTGCGCCAGTTCCATAAGCTGACAAAAGCCGCTGCCCATCCGCTGTGCGTCCGAGCATCACATGCAGGCTAAATAAACCACGGCGCGACCCCGACATGGCGCTCCTCTCGCGGTCCAGCGAGACATCAGGACCGAGGGCGTGCGAGGGATGCCGTCCGGCCCGGCGTGGAGCCCGTCCCGCACACGCGCCCGTTCGGAGGCGCGCCTCACCTGGATCTGCTGGATGGGGTGCGGCGGCCGCTGCAGCTGCTGCACCTGCGGGCCCAGCCCCGGCTGCTGACCCTGCGCCAGTCCCGGGCGCGCCTGCCACTGCTGTTGCTGCTGTTGCTGCTGTTGCTGCTGTTGCTGCTGCTGTTGCTGCTGGAGTGAGCGCTGCCGGAACTGGAAGTGATTTATGAGGATGCTGCGGTGCTGTGGGTCCATGCGCTCCAGGTACTGCACTCGCTGCTGCGAGTCCAGGCTGACCAGCCGCTGCTGGTGCACCTGCACGATGTGATCCTCGCGCCAGCCCAGCCGCTGCTGCTGGCCGGGCGCCGGCTGCGCACCGGGCGGTGCCGCCTGCTGCACGGCCATGCGCACGCCGTCGCCCGGCTGCACGGGCGGCCGCCATGTTTGTACGCCCATCAGCTGCGGCTGCGGCGGCTGCGCCTGCGAGTACGCCGGCTGCTGGCGCTGGATGTAATGCTGGCCCTGGTGGCGGATCAGTTGCTGCGGCTGCGACGCCGCCTGCTGGCCCGGTACGCTGTAGGCAACAGACTGCGCTGGCTGCTGGTGCTGATTCAGGATCACGTGCTGCTGATGCTGCGACGTCAGCACCCGCTGCTGGTGCTGCGACGTCATCACTTGGTGCTGCTGCGAAACTAGCACCTGCTGCTGCTGTTGAGGTGGGATCTGCTGTTGCGACGTCATAATCTGCTGCTGGGGAGCCATGATCTGCTGCTGTGACGTCATTATCTGCTGCGGGTGCTGGCCCATAACCTGCTGCTGCTGTGCCAGCGGCGGTGTCCGCATCCGTTGCTGCTGCTGCGCGAGCATCTGCTGGCGCTGCTGGGGCGTCAGCACCATTTGCTGCTGCTGGGTCAGCATCTGCTGCTGTGTAACCAGCTGCGGTCGCTGCTGCTGGCCGGCATGCGTCAGGTGCTGCTGCTGCTGCTGAGGACGCTGGAGCGTCGACTGTAGCGGTGACCGGATCTGCAAACCGACATCGGACCCGTAAGGCGATGTTTCAGCGATACCGATGCCGCGCGCGTGTGCTGGCTGGGCAGGCAGACGAGACTTGAATCAGATGTCACAACAAAGGAGATCGGAGATCAACGCCTGGTGTAGCAGTGCTTCTTCTCTTGTTATCATGACACACAAGAATAGCCGCTGCCTCCTCGGTCACCAGCTGAAGGTGGCGGCCTCCCCCTCCCCCCCCCCCCCCCCCCCGTCTCGGACCGAGCGGCTTCATCGACTTCTGACCTGCTGCTGCTGCAGCTGGACGGGCAGCCGCTGCAGCTGCTGGCCGGCCACCGCCATCCGGGGCGACATCTGGCGGGCGGCGGCCGGTGACGTCCCTGCCGAGGCCGGCGTGGCGGGCCGAGGCGCGGCGGCGGGCGGCCGTGGGCCGGCGGTGACCGTGACGGCCGGCGCCGGCGGCTGCACACGCCCGGGGACGCGTCAGAAATGGGCACAACACGAACGGAGCGAGGCGCGGATGCGGCTGGGTGGGTCAGGAGTTAAAGCGGACCCAGCATGGGCAAGAGTGGAACAGGGCGGGATGGAACAGGACACGAGCTAGGCCAGGACGATGCCTGGCAGCTGACAGCGTCCCTGGCGACACGGTCCACAAACACAAAGCACACGCGTGTTGGTCGAACTGCTACGCACGGTAGAGAAGGTGCAGGTAAATTGAGGCAGATGTTACGACTTGGGAATGCCAAATGTGTTCGGCACCGGATGGCATGGCGTGGACGATATGGTAGATGTGTTTGAAATAAGGCTGCCTGGACGAGCTGAAAGAAAATCTGACCAAGAACGCTATGTGTTTTTGAAACATGTAATCAGAATGTCGCGTAAGAGCCAACAACAGGTACAGCGCGCATATGCAATTTACACGTTCCTGCATTAAAATAATATACTGCACGACTTTCTGTCCTCCACGTCCAAAAAAAACGGTGACCATGTCGATGGTCCCGAACCTTATGCCCGACACGTTCTGCCGCACCCGGTGCCGCACCAACCCAGTCCCATCTCCCGCCACCACACCAACGCTCCCTGGCCCCGCGTCCGCGCCTCGCCCGTTTCCACCTTGTCGGGCTGATTCCAGGGCAGGTTCTGCTTGAGTCGCGCCAGCAGCTGCTGCTTCTCCTGCTCGCCGCTAGGCCGGCGGTCCTCCTCCTCGCCGAAGCCGGTGATGGCGGCCAGGGCCGGGTCGGGCGGCGGTGGCGGCGTGGCCGGCGGTGGCGGCACCAGCAGGCGCGGGTGAAAGGCGGCCGCCTCGCTCAGCCGGCCGGCCTCTGCCGAGCTCGTCACCCAGTCAGGCGTCACCGGCACCGGCCCCGCCGGCTGCAGACACCGCTCGTACATGGCCTGCGAGCGCCGGCGCAGGCCGGTCAGCGCCGGTGGCGGCGGGGACCGGTGGCGGCAGCAGGCCTGCGCCCGAGACAACGGCGGGGAGCGGCGCCAGGCAGCAGCCGCACAGAGACTGAGGCCGTGCCAGCCGGTGACAGCAAGGGACCGGTGGCGGCAGCAGGCCTGCGCCCGAGACAACGGCGGGGAGCGGCGCCAGGCAGCAGCCACACAGAGACTGAGGCCGTGCCAGCCGGTGACAGCACGGGACGACACGGACAGAAGCTCCCATGCTAGCTGCGTACATTGGTGGGCAATTAATTCCTATATATACGGCCTGCTGTCCTCCGTCGCAGAAACCCGAACACCGACTACGTCGAACCCGTCAACATTCCCAGGACCAGCTCAGCACCTCGACACCCGCCCAGCTCGCAGGCCGCAGTCTCCGCCGCCGGCCGTCAACTCACGCCCTCCGGTTTGCCGACCACCAGATGGGTGCAGCGCGCGTCCAGCCGGCGCTGGAAGGCGCCACCGTGGAAGGTGACTAGCGCCCACACGGTGCGCACGTCGTCGGGCTCCAGCCGGCTGCAGCAGACGCGCACCCCGCGAAACACCTGACCCGGCGCATGGCTGAAGGCAGCCGTCCTGCGGGTCTCGGTCAAGGGGTGGAACTGACAGAGGCTCACTGAGGTGCATAACGAACAGCAGAGGTGAACCACAGCTGAATTGTTATTATCTATGTCCGTGCCGCATGGTAAGATCAAAGTGATGAGCAGGTGAAGAGAAGAGCACAGTGTTGGCTATAAGGTGCTATCCAATAAGACAAATGTAAGCACACTGACGAGCTTGACACCCACCCTGCCCATGTCTCGACGTTTGGCCAGCTGTTTCCAGGATGTTACTACATTGCCATACTATCAGACCCCCGCTCGGGGTTCACTGCGCTATTCCGCAACCCGCTCGAGATGGACCAATCAGCATCGAGCCAGACGGCAGTCAATTTAGCATTTAGGCGCCTTAGGCTTGACAAATCAACCTGGCAGGTGCAGTATCAGAGTCTGGAGTCGAAAGGCAACTGGTCAGCAGCCACCACAACGTGCGTGCGGAGGCAGCAGGGAAGCCTAAGTCTCAAAGCACGAATTTATGGTAACATTTTGCACACCCGACCACATGAATTTCGAAATGCTCTTCACTGCTAACATACAGGTGGTTTGTGGAACAAAAGTGTGCTCAAATACAGCACTGAGAATTCACACGCACGCACGCACGCACGCACGCACGCACGCACGCACGCACGCACGCACGCACGCACGCACGCACGCACGCATGCACACACACACACACACACACACACACACACACACAGCAAACACCATCACAACATAATGTCCTTGCACAAAAAATCCAAGTAGCTCAACTGCTAGCACGCCAAGGATACGGAAGCAGTTTTCCAGCAGCTGCGGAGAGTGTGACCCAGACTGCCCTGAGAGCAGGCCGCTCATAGAGGTCATGTGCTTCATTAATGACATCTTCATCTGGTAACTCCCCAACAATGAGGTGAGTTGTGTAGTCTGTGAAGTATGTCTCTCTCTTGGCACCACCACTTTCCAACTGTTCTTCAACCTGGGGCAAAAAAGGCAGGTGTATTGGGGTTTTAAACATGAAAAATGTCACAGACTACACAACTGTGCATTCTGATCGCTTAGTCAGCTAGAAAGACTGCTTTCTGATCCACCCATGGCAGGGTGGGTTGTATTTGCTTTAGGGCCTAGCTATTTACCCCAAATGGACAGATGGTGGCAGCAGCTGTACTAAAGGTCAGATGATGTTGAAGGGCCAGAAGGCCATACTGAACATTGCAGCATTCTGAAATTTTGCCACCAAACTCTGCTGTTGATCTGGAATTACGTGATTGGAAAGAAGGGACCAGGGCTCACACAAGCACTGCTGAGCATGAGCTCTTATCAAAGAAATCCATCCATAGGAAAGGTTCAGGTGAAGTCTTCAAAAAATAAACATGAAATTTGTATGAGTAAATTGCACTTAAAACTTGTGATAGTGCATAGCAGCATTCATTTGTATCTGAATGATGTCACACAAGATATGAAGTAAATTAATGCTGCAATGCTATGAAGTGAAAATGGCACCTGCCACAAAAAGAAAAATGGCATCACAACAATGATTAAATACCTTCAAATGGAACATTTTCCAATGAATCAACACTGTGGCTGTGTGCTATCAAAGCAAATCTGGCATTAACACAATCATTTCAATAGCAACTGAAAATCATGCTATGTGGCAGTAATATACAAAAGTCTGCTTCCTGTGACCACCTCCTACAAGGTTGAATAACAGCAGACCTATTTCCAACAAAAGAAAGCAAACCTTACTTTGTATAAGATTTCAAATAGTATTTAGATTCCACGTAGATGCCAAAGCAATTAACCAGTCATCAAAAGTACAATGATCATAAAGGACCACCTCCAAAGCCTAGCAACAGCATGTTGGACTGGGGATAGGGATAACAGGGACAACTGTTAAATAGCATAGCATGATAGGCATCTAGGGATAACATGCTGGACCTAGCAGCACCATATACCATTAAGGAGAGCATCCTGCCTTTTTGTACATTTCAATCACTGTTAGACATGTACAATTTGATCAGCAACACCAGTCTTCTCAAAATCTGTCTGAATAGCTCAGGATTTCCATCTGAGGCAGCCAACCCTGAGGGACAGAATTTGATTCCTTGCTCACCAATAAGTAAAACATTTTATTTGCCTTGCTTTTTCTGGCATGTGTTCTACAATGTTTGTGTGTGCTGAGTTAAAGTGCTTGTGCAATAAATACCCCAAACACTTAAAACTTTGCTTAAATGGAAAGGTATGCACACATGTAACTATTATTTTGTGAGTTGAGCAAAACATTTGCCAATTCCTCTGCTATCAGCTTGCTGCAGTGGCTCTTTTCCAGACACAATTTGGCTGTGGGAATGTATCACATGAACCATGTGAGGCACTGATTCAAACTTAAGCCAATGCTCTGATAAAAGGCTCATTCCCTTGGCCCATTCCCAATCACAGGTGTTCTTTTATTTGCACCAGCACAGGTGCCACTGGAGTTGTCATGATGATGGCAGTCCTAACTACAGGGAAGAAGCTTAGTGCTTCCAGTGCTTAGCAAATTATGTTGTCAACAAAGTAATGTCAACATAATCTGGGCCACAGAATAAGTAGAGGTTATTTCCTTGCACTGACTGTGCCACAATGGCATTACTCAGTGGCACCATTAGGCATGACTAGTCCTAAGGTTTCACTAAAATATGATTTTGAAATATGTCCTGAAGGTGGTACACTCCCTTTAATATGCCTGACATAAAAAACCAGGCTGTTGCACTCAGCAGCAACAAAAGTCCTCTCAAGACTAGTCAGCAAAAAATCCATCCACTGCCTCAGTGCCTAAAAAATATTTGTGTGCTGACCCTGGTGCACACATGTGCCAAACTCAGGTCAGGCTAAAATGTGTTAAATTCTAAAATCACTTCCTTGAAAAAGTTTTGAGGACATTTTTGCATGAAATGGTGATTGCAATATCAAAATTTCTTGGAACATGTGTAAGTTCTACATGCACAGAAATCAGATGACAATGTGCAACAAACTCATGATATCTTGAATGAATAGCATGCCTTTGCCAAAACTGTTTCTTTGGTGTCACCGCTATGCTGAACTAGCTCAGAATAACATATTTCAGCAGTCTAATCTCAAGGGGCAGCTGGCAGCCTGAGAACTTGGGGGACTCAGCTCTCCTGTTCCCAGACCAGTGGTTGAACTTGGAACTGAGATGAGTTGATGTAAGCATAACCTTTGAAACTTAGTGCATACATGCCACTTCACCAGTAAATTATGTGTCTGGTTATCACATGCTTGAAACCTCACAAGTTCTGACTGTATGACACATGTTAGGGGTATGCCATATCGCACATGACATCCCGTCACCACGTATGGTTCAACGAAAACAAAACGTCTCACCTTCGGAGATAATCTGCCGGTGGTGAAGTACCTAATTGAACTAAATATTTGAGCCATACTCTCGTTACCAGTTATTTTAACAAACGCGATGTATCGGCGTTGATCACTTATGACTCAACCCGGTCATAATGAAGCAGAAATTACGCTCATTTGGGCCCTAGCACATGCACGCCCCCACACATTTCCCGCGGCCTTGTCCACAGCACGAGAGCTGGAAGTAGAAATATGGCGGGAACTGGTATTATCACGTATCCGGCTAATCTGATGCAATATTGGCGCATATGCCCTCTTAAGAGTGCCATATCTTATGTTAGATAATTTCCGCTACTCTTGAAGGATTCCTTCGACAGAGTACCACCTCAGTGCCTTCGACATCGGATTTTGTGCTTTTAGTGCAGGAACGGATAATGGAAGCGGGGGTGGGGAGAGAGTCAGAGACATACATGGAGCTGCCCCATTCTTGGACAAATCTAGCATCAAGCCCATAGTGTTCCACGGCGGGAAACTTGGAAAAATGCATTCGCTCCTAACTGAATAGGCAACGGCACCCCTGCTTAGATGATTAGTGATGGTATTCGCTGCCTCTGGTATTTATGTATTTAAATCGCACGTTTTTTGAGTGAATGTTTTTGGCATGCGTTCAGGACTCAGTTCTTTGGAATGTACATATCATTCCTAAATCTGCCGAGAGCTGTAAGTTAAAGTTTAGTCATTTCTATCCTGAATAAATCAAAATCAGGAGCGAAAAAATGGCCAGATATTATTGGTGATTCTGTCGTGGCTCAGTTGTCTGACAGCATTCCACTTTTGGAATATTGATGTCTCGTTTAGCATTGTTCGGGTACTCACCTTAAACTTGCTTTATGTCCAACACCCGATGACCGCCTCTGACCGGTGCTGGCGTGCAACAAGGACGAGCACAGAGGCGGCTATCTATCATTATGCTAGATCGCCCCACTAATCGTCTGGTGAAGCCGTCTGTCGGAGCGCCGTTCCACTGATAAAGCATGCTATGAGATGGCTTCATCGCGATCGTCGCGGTATCAGTCGCGTGGAGCCAAATACTATGAGATTGCTTCATCGCGATCGTCGCGGTATCAGTCGCGTGGAGCCAAATACTATGAGATTGCTTCATCGCGATCGTCGCGGTATCAGTCGCGTGGAGCCAAATACTATGAGATTGCTTCATCGCGATCGTCGCGGTATCAGTCGCGTGCAGCCCGACAAAATCCCTTTGCCGTCGTTGTTAAAAGCTCGAGCTGTCCAAGAAAGGATGGTCTGACATCCTGAGAAACTGCACCCGTACCACATAGGTGTGCTCCATAACCTCGAATCACAATACGGATAACGGAAGCGATGGAGAAACGGATAGCGAAGATAAGACAAGAAAGAAACGAATGGCGATGTGTCATAGGTTCTCCACTGATAAACTCGAGCATGAACCAAGCTTTCTTTGTGACCTCTGGTTCACAGACAGATCTTATTTTCCCAGTGGTCATACCAACTCGTTATTTATTGGGTTTTAAGAGCGCGCCAACTGCATTGGTTGTTCGCGCCGGCTGTACCAGCCCAAAGAACAGTATGTACTGGGTAGGCTCTTCGCCCGACATGGCGCTGCAGTGACCGCTGCACTCAGTGAATCGTATCGCACATGGCTGATAATACCCAAGCGTTTTTTTTTTTACCAGATCGTTCTCGTCTTGTTTGAGGAAGGCGGCCGCGCAGCTGCAGTGAAAACGCGACCCTACATCGAGGTCTTGAGGAATTCTGGAAGTGCCTTTCTAGGAAAAAAACACACATACAGACGTGCTATCCGGTGGCATCAACAGAACGGAACGCACTCTATCGTTTCCATGGATCACTAGAATGGCTCCAGGATCACCTCGCGATGAAGTGATCTGTCGCCGACTTGATGTGGCGAAGCGGCTCGCTCTCCTGACTTGTTACCGCAGACTTCCCGCTGTGGGGGCACTTGAAGTACAATCCCTTACGACGGCAGTCCGCAGACAATCACACAACCCGAAGCAGAAGAAAACAAGATATCCGAGCGATCCCCATGACTCAGTGCCTGAACACTAAACAATGTCGCCAAACGCATTGCGTTGTGTTTAAGTCACTCATATTCTCGCATTCTCTCAATTTCGCACGCAGCACGCGTAGGATGCTTATCCATCTAACAATCGCATGGGTGAAATATACGCCCGTACTACTTTCTAAGCGTAAGAATTTTTGTCCTGAAGCGTTCAAAGGTACTTGTTTCAGTGAGCCGCGGGGCAGACTCCGCGCGGCCTGCGGAGACCGCGGTGCCAAGCGTTGAGGTTGTTGCTAAGATTTGCGAGCGCGTGTGTTCAAAACCGTGTTGAATTTTTTCAGTAATCGGCTCGAATGAATGTCAGACATTTCAAGGGAAACCTGGGCTAGCCAATGTGAATCAATGTAAACTGTGTGACCCCGTTTTGATCTAGAATCCACGTTCATTAGTTTTCAATATCACTGAAGAACACAGAAAAACGTTTAGTAGCGTTTCGGAGTTTTATCGGTGTAGAAAGAGTCCATTTAACCATTGTAAAGTGAAGAACGACGGTGATTTATGCTATTCAGTTGTTCAAGGCCAGATTGTTCAAGGTTTGTTGCCTCCCCAATGAACCAAAATGCCTGTTCGCTCGTAGAAACTAGCCTCCCCAGGAAAGCAATGTTGAAATGGACGATTAATTTTAGGAAGCCGGAAAGTCGTGTTTGCCGAATGGCATATATTAATTGGATAGGCAAGATTGCGCACCAGTGGGAAACAGCCGTGGATGTACATCTAGCACAGCAATCATGGCATATGATTTTCCAACATTTGTATCGTGAGCCTGGCCGCTCACTTTCTAAAACGTTCTAACGCATATGATTTAAATTCAATGAGCTCGTCTGACTACCAGATTTGCTCCAACCGCTCAAAGAACTCTTTCTTTTTTTTCGCAGGATAATTGATGCCTTGCCACCCTGCCATGCTCAACAACGTGTCATGCCCACGCTTGACAGCTTTTTGTATGTTGCCCGACGTAAGTACCGATTCGGCTTGTCCAGTGACTTTCTTGCGTGCCTTTTTGTATGTTGCCCGACGTAAGGACCGATTCGGCTTGTCCAGCGACTTTCTTGCGTGCCTTTTTGTATGTTGCCCGACGTAAGGACCGATTCGGCTTGTCCAGTGACTTTCTTGCGTGCCTTTTTGTATGTTGCCCGACGTAAGTACCGATTCGGCTTGTCCAGTGACTTTCTTGCGTGCCTTTTTGTATGTTGCCCGACGTAAGCACCGATTCGGCCTGTCCAGCGACTTTCTTGCGTGCCTTTTTGTATGTTGCCCGACGTAAGTACCGATTCGGCTTGTCCAGTGACTTTCTTGCGTGTCTTTTTGTATGTTGCCCGATGTAAGCACCGATTCGGCTTGTCCAGTGACTTTCTTGCGTGCCTTTTTGTACGTTGCCCGACGTCAGCACCGATTCGGCTTGTCCAGCGACTTTGTTGTGTGCTTTTGATACGCGGACCTCGGTCTAGTTACAAATAAAGCCATTGTGTTGCTGCGGTAGACTTAGTTTATAGGGAGTGCTTAACAGCCTTGGTGCGATGCTTCCACGTCAGGAAAACGTTGACGGGGCTCCAGCGGTAACCGTGGTAAATGAACTGAAAGCTCTGCTTCTGATGGTGTGTTCGTGAGTCCCGCGCTCTTCCGTTCACTCGCTAAGTAACATTTTGAAAAGTGTCTAAGGTTGCTGCACTCGCGCATGTGGTGGGATCGAAAACGTGCATTTTGGAACTGCAGGCGCTCTCGCTCTAGAAAGCATGAGGTTTTACAATATTTGCGCCCCATGTTTTCGATCCACGTGTGCTCAAGAGCGCACCTCGGACTTTTGTGCGCATAGGCCGACCCCTAGAGGCCTCCGATAGAGCTCCCGAAGCGGTCCCTTCAGAGGCTAGTTGCTGTGCACACCTTCACGACGTCCCTGTCTGTCCCGGGCTGCTCAATGGTACGGTGTGATGTGCTGCATGGAACTTTGTGAACTTAGGCGCATCCCGGGTCCATCTACCTATTTCATGCCTTCCTTCGATACCCTGAGGGCCCGCATTTTCTAATGGAGGGACAAGGGCCCATATGCTTGACGTCCTCTAGAGAGCCGCTATAAAGGACGTCTATACAGAGGCGCGTTTGCGCCTATGGTTGATATGGGCGGTGGATGCGCCTGAAGGCGATGTCCATGGTACGGTGTTCATGACGAAGTCTAAGGGCACTTGGTACAACTATCTAAAATTTGGCCTTGTTTGACCTTATTGAACCTAAATTTCATAAAAGCAGGACATAAAAGCAGTACACAAATGATTCCACATGGATTACAACCTACCTATTGAATTTGAAGTCTATAGCTCTGTTAGTTTGTGAGATCTCGGGGGAGCAAATGACCCCCCCCCCCCCCACACACACACACCCGAGCGCGTTGCATGCAGCCGGCCATTCAGGCGCGTGTTACGCCGAAACCCGAATTAACTCATAAATAATGATCACACGCGGAATTGATTTTCTACATAGATGTGGCGATTGGTTCTGCTGACTCCGAAGCGAGCGCAGGTTCGAGTGTTGGTGCTGCTTTGAGCTCCCATTCGAGCCAAAAATCCAACGGCCCCATAACTCCACCGTCAAATGGCGGAAATCATGACACGACACCGTCCTGGGTCAGACAGAGTGCTGACTAGGCAACGACTGCCAAGTTTGTATTGCTGTGACACCCAGTAGCGCACAGGCCACGGTCTGAGAAGTTGGAAGCATGACGAGCCACTCTCAAATTGCGAACGAATTTCGCCAGATTGCCGTTCGGAGCTCGTGTTATCAAAGATTTTTGGGAAAATGAACACAAAGCGACGAAACAGGCGACGTGACGAGTAGGTCCGTTTAGCGTGATGGCGTGCGCTCTCATTGCCTCTTGTAGACGCGCGTGCAGACGACACCATTGCAGGAAACGACCTGAAACCGGTCATGGTAACTATTAGCACCTGGTCAGACCTGCTCTGCTATGATCCCGCCGGCACTGGTGACCGATATGGGCCAGTGATCGGTGAACGATCAGGTGCGGCGCACAGTTAACGGAGCCTGTTTCCAAGCACACGACGCCAGTGACTTCATTGGTCATCTGGCGGCAGTTTAACAAGATCACAGCAGGTTGTTTGCTACCCCCCCCCCCCCCGCCCCCCACCGGCTGAGTAGCCCTTTGTTCACTCGCAAAAACTCTTCCCCGACCAGCTGTCTCGCACACGACTGCAGAAGGGCGGCCGGACCCCAGTCAACGCCATTTGTCTGCATTGAGCCTGCTTGTGGTGCTCATCTCGGCGGGTGACGAGCAGACAAAAGTAAACGGCCATTTTTCAATTTGCTGGCAGCTGGGCGGGAGGATGCGGGGCAGACGGGTCGACATTACGTTAACTGGGGCGACGTGATGAAGCGGGGGCCAGCGGCATCCGAACCACGGCAACACGGCATTGGGAACTGCACCACCCTCCCTCCTTTGAGAACGCTCTGAACCGTGCCCGCGCTCGTGTTCTCGTCTGACAGAAAGGACCATTCGATTTACATTCAGCCCTTTCAAAAGTGAGAAGTCGCTGCATACGCAAATGTGAAAAATGTAACTCAATTTAGGAGAACTCGAACATAGACAAAAGAGCACTGGTCTCGCACAGCTTAGTTGGTTGACTCGTGCCCCCTCCCCTGCCCGTCTGATTGCCGCGGCTAGCCGTTCTCGCCAGCGAGACTTTCTCACCGCCTTGATGCCCTCGTCGCTGAACTCGCGCACCAGCGTTGACTCCTTGCCGTCGCCGGTCTGCTTCTCCGTCAGCGTGTCGCCGTTCTTGGTGACGATGCTCTGGGGACAGGGTACGTCAGGTCAGGGCAGGACAGGGCAGGGCAGGGCAGGGCAGGCCAGGGTAGGGCAGGGCAGGGCAGGCGCACGAAGGCTAACGTCGTTGTGCTGTGATGCATGTTCAAGTCTGCCTGACACGCACCGCGCTGGTTTGCGCAGACTTGTGCCGGATTCGATTTAAATGCAGAACAGCATGAAGAGACACTGCAAACCTTGGCGAACCAAGCTTGGTTCGAATTCCTCAATTTTTTGCGACCACGAATCACATTAGTACTCTCGTGTTAGCCGAGTCGGCTGAATCAGCAGCCTGACTTGAATCAGCATTCTTCGTTGGTCTCAACAAGGCTTCAAAGAACGGCGGTGTTCAGCATTTTTAGTAAGTTACCATTGCCAGTAAAGAAGGGGCAATTGCTTTAAAATCAAGTGAGAACAACCGGCTAAAATTGACAGAGCAATCTACACCGTACGGTGTCCCTAAGTGTGATGTATTAACGCCATCAGTCCACAATTCATAGTTGAGTGCAAAGTTGGTATGGCGCAGAGAAAACCTCGGCGCACGCAGGGTGATTGAAAACATGCTGCGCAATGTATTCGCAAAGTTCAGTAGCCGTCTGTCAAAATATGTGCAAAGAGTTTGGTGACTGATAACTTGGAGGACGCTCCGCCCTGCCGCCAGCTGCATGTATTCGTGTGGCTATGATAAGCTGTGATGCCATGATAATGCCGGCGCCTGTGATTGTCCCGGTGGCTGAAGACTCGGCGGACACTATCTGGTTCTCAGCTGCATGCATGCCTGTGGTATGATAATGTCCCGGCGGTTGTGATAGTTCCGGTGGTTGTATGAGGACTCGACGGATACTCTGTCTGGTTCTCATCTGCATGCATGCCTGTGGTATGATAATGTCCCGGCGGTTGTGATATTCCCAGTGGCTGTATGAGGACTCGAAGGATGCTCTGGTTGTCAGCTGTGCGTGTTGCCGTGGCTATGATAATGTCCCGGCGGCTCGCTAACCGAACCACATGCGCTGGTCATGGCTGGTCTGACCGAAGCGAGCGCCTGGTGTGACACGAGTGACCGCGGTTCCCGACCGGAGCGCCCGTCACAGCACCGGCTGGCCTCACGGGAGACGCCGGGAGCCGGCGGCCGGCCGACTCAGAGCGGGGAACCGTGCTTTGACAGCTGCCATATCGATCGGACGCCATCGGGGCGTCCGACCCCGGCGTGCCCGCGTGTGGTGCACGAGGGCGGCGAACACGCATCAGCCGCCCGAATAACACGACGGCCGCGGCGAGACGCACAGCTGACGGCCGGGCGGAGCATCCGACAGACCACCCGTCAGCTGGGCGGTCAGCTCCGTAGGCAGGGCGACTGTCATGGCTGGCAGTAAAGCGAAGCATCCACCCGGCTCCCGGACAGCTGCGCCGACAGCTCCACAGCCACGGCGGGGTACGCAGCTGGCGGTGAGGCTGGACATCCACCGAGTCCACAGCCGGCGGCCGTGACAGTGTCGCAGCCCACGGCCCCAGCAGCTGCACACAGCTGACGGCAGCGAATACAGCCCGGAGCCCCCCCCCCCCCCCCCGTGTCGAGTCCTGTCACACGTCATGTGTTGGCGGGCCCGGCGTCCGACGTCGGGCTGTCAGGCGGGCGCGGGGGAAGGGGGGGGGGGGGGCGGGGAGGTACGGTCTCGGCTAGTGGCCGACCTGCGTGGGTCCAACCGACAGCCTGGCCTCCTTGAAACGTGGCCTCTTAGATCAAGAGTCCCGGCACGCGACCGAGTTGTTTCCGCTTCAACTGCCCAGCCTGCAATGGGTCACCTCCTCCGAGTGGCCCTGCACGGTCGCCGGGTCTGGGTGCGGGTTGCTCAGTGGGTCGCTCTGACAGGGGGAGCTGTGACGTCACTGCCGGTCAGGAGTTGGAGGTCGCGGACTGCTAGCCAAGTCATGCGGCTCGGTCGAGGACAAAGGGGCAGGACGGCGCTCGCCACTCGCCGTAGCATGTTGTTTTTAAAGAATTGGTCTGCGTCTTTGGAATAGATGAATTTCTGGGATCAGAGCCCACGCTAAGCATAGCTTAACGTGGGCTCTAAGCAGAGCGTGGGGCCTAACGTCTAGCGGTCGCTCATCAAATATTAGGTTAACGGTAGATTCTCGGCAAGGTTAAATGTGCCGTAATACTCAGCACGGTCCGTCCTGCCCTCTGCCCTCGAGCCCTCTGACATCTTCTCCCTGACCTTAAGCGCAGCCGTTGCCACCGGCCGCAGGCTATTCTAGTCAAGAGCAAATAGCGAACGCTTAAAGCGCCTTGAATCCTGTTATCACGGTTGGGTGGATCGGAAGGCAAACGCTAACCAACAGAGCTATCGGGACGGATGTTGTGAGACGTTGTCATGCTGCCCTTGGCATCAAGTGGAGAGGAGCGGGTGGGTAACTGGATGCGCGTCAAGTACCCTAACCAAAGAGAGCCAGTCCGAGACTCCACGTCTGCCCGGCCTGGCACACTGGCTATCCCCGCTGGCGCAAGTTCAATCGGCTGAAGTGGCTTCGAGGCAGCCAGCTTAGGTAAATTCTACACAGCTGTAGCAGCCGGACGGCGAGCAGCTGCCGCCGCGCGCGGTACATGGGTGTTGCGACCGCGTGGCTGGTCTCCCAGTATTGAGCGCTGTATGCTGTCAAGCCGAGATACGAACATTGAAGTGAACGCGGCTTATCCATTTGATATGACGGAGGGCGTCGGAGACCTCTCCGCGTAGCTTATCGCTGATATGTAGGTCGCGGCCGTAAAAAGTTGGTGCCGTAGCATCAGACCACCGATCTCGGGCGATCGGCGTTCGCGGAGTGGCCAAACAGCGTTCGCGGAGTGGCCAAACAGCGTTCGCTCACAAGGCTGTCCGCCATGTGTTGGCAGCATTCTCTTCCAGCTGGGGGTGTCACCCAAAACCGTGCGAGCGATGTCAGATGATACGTTCCGCTGACATGCCCCTCCCCCCCCCCCTCCCAGCGGACCTAGCCGACAGCGTCGACGCCGCGTTCTGGCGCGCGAGGCATCATTTATAATAAGGTGTCGAAATACTCCCCCGCGTGAACGGAGGGATTCTACCAAAATGGCAACCGGAACCAAGTGCCACACGCGCGCACCGCGATGATAGCGAGTAAACATCGCCGGCTGCCGGAGCGAGTGACGGCAAATATCTTCCGTGTTTACGCTGGTTTCCAAGTGCATACACGGACAGCAGTACTCATCGAATCACATGCCTTCTCTGCATGCCGTCAGTTCGCCCCTTCCCCTTCCCCTCCCCGACGGTATAACGGGTCCAGGCGAGACCTTCTTTGTCATATTTCCTCGTATGCATCTATTCGTGTTCACATTTCTTCGTGCGTGAATATTCCTGGGCGTAAAACTTTGCTAACTCAAAACTTCAGAAATACCTTGGTAACGCAAAACGTTGTATCTTTAAAAGGTCATTCATGCAATTTTTCACACAGCGTTTCCTCGTGCAAACGCTACTTCCCATATACAATTCTTCGCATTGCATACCGCTAAACCCGCAATCGTTCGTGTCGCACAAAACGTTGCACATGAAAAGTTATTATGAACCAAACGTTAAGATAATTGTACATCCTCTTCTTTACATCACATCTATTGAATTGCACAGTTTGGACTGGAAGGTTTACATGCGCCTGAGCCAAATAATGCGTAAGTTGTGCGCGATTCTTCACGGAGAAACGCTCAAATGGCGCGGCGGCCACGAGCCACCGCCGCCAGTTTGAGCACCGTTACGAGAGGTGGGCGCCCAGCTAAGCACTGCATGACGCAAGCGCACTCAGATCCTCTTCGTTGGCGCTGAAAGTTTTCATTTCTTCGTGTGTTGCAGTTATTCATGTTGCATATTACGTGGACGCAACGCATTGCACCGCGTTTGCGGGCATGCACACAGCGGAGCTTCCTGCTTCGTATGAAGCTCTGACTCAAGTGGTAAGAACAATTATATGTGTCAGTTGGTTTGCCGAATATGCACACTGATATAACGACATAAATTGAGAATTTTACCCTTGCTGCGAAAGCTAAGTGAAAACAAGCATTGCATGCAATGCATGCCTTTTTCGTAAAATGTCGGGTTGCGCTCAACACCTACGACGTATATGAGCACGCAACATGTTTGAGAAAGGCGTGTGCCTTCGTCCTACATGCAAAAACGGATCACGCCGGTTACGTTGGGTGGAGGCAGGTGGAAGCTCAAGTGGACCAACACAACGCCGTTAGCCTGAAGTTGCCCGAAATATAGCATTGTGCTGTGGCGTAGCGTCGGGAACTGTCTGGTTTAGTCCGGGTGCGGTACGGAGAAATACCATACGAAAGACCGCGCATGCAAAGCAATGTGATGCGAATAACTACGTTTGCGTGGTGGCAGGAGTACAATTGCTGATGACAAATTTTGCGGAGACGAACATTTGCGTATTCAGGTAAGCCAAATGATTATTCTCGTATGGAATGCCAAGTATGTGATGTCATGATTACCGCACAAAGTTTTGCGTACGACATGCGTCTCGGACATAAATGGCAAAAGCGATGTAAACTTTCGTCCGGTCACGAGGCACGACTGGCCGGGGCAGGACCACTGGCGGTGGCGCTGGACCGCTGCGGGACGCTGCCTTCCGGTCGCGAGGCACGACTGGCCGGGGCAGGACCACTGGCGGTGGCGCTGGACCGCTGCGGAACGCTACCTTCCGGTCACGAGGCACGACTGGCCGGGGCAGGACCATTGGCGGTGGCGCTGGACCGCTGCAGGACGCTGCCGCTGCCACCGTCGACTGCCGGAGGGAAGGGGGAGGGGGGGGGGGGGGCTGCCGGTTGCCAGGGTACCAGTGCGGCAGCTGGGGACGATCGTCGGCGGCGTTGGCGGCTGGGGACGACCATGGGCGGCGCTGAATAGAGTGGACCAGCTGTCGCCGGCGGCGCCCACGTCTGAGACCAGTCGGCACCGCCGACCACACCCGCTCGGCGCCGCGTGCCGCCGGGCGACGCGGTGGCGCGGCCGGGCGGAATCAACTTCAATTGAAGCTCGGCGTGTCGCCGGGTTCACCGAGGACGGAACTGTCAAGTGCATGGGTTGCAGCGAGCAAATAAAATCTTAGGCACTAAATCAATTAACCTGCTTCAATTCTTTTACTTGTGAGATACATCAACCTCGCGAAATCGGGTTGGTGAGCAAGCGCAGGCGGAACAAACTGAGATTAATACAAGCAGATTGAGCTGCCCACATGGTGGACACACACTATGTCTTCGATGCTTTAGTGAATTACTTAACTTACGCTGACTTATTTGCATCTGAGAGATGTAATACATGGTGCATCACATCTGTATTCTGATGAGTGTAGGTGCATCTCGTCAGCCCAACTTCCCACCGCCCTTTCCACGCTAGCGTTAGTTAATAAATACCTATTTATCCGTATTAACGCAAGTTTTTTTTCAAGCGGGACCTAATTTGGTTCAGCAGCAGCCCACAGGCAGCATCCTGTGGATTGCACTTCAACACTTAATCCTAAAAACTGCGCCCAATTCTGAAATGCACTTTGAAAGGAAGCGTAGGGTGGAGCCCATTGTTTGTCAGCGGACCTTTGAAAATAGCCGGTGAAGATTACTATGGAAACCTTGTTCATTCGGCACCAGCCAATTCCTAAATTTACATTGGGTTATTTGGTCCCATGCCCAACGGGCCCAAATCACGAAACATCGCGAATGTGAAAAGACGAATAGGTACATGATGCTGAACCCAATATGTCTCCAAGGTAAAAATCTATAGCTACCATGATTGCCTTGACGACAAACCAAGGGGCTCACTCTTGCGCATCATATTCCTCGGGCATTTCAGATTCAGCACCAAATTAGGTTTTTTGTCATGATGCTTGCGTGGAAAGGGCCATTTGGCACCAAACCTAAAACGCATGACAACCTGGGTGAACAGGGTCGAAGCCCATCGTTTATTGTCAGGCCTATGGAAGTACTAGGTAAGTACCACTATGTACCTACGCATTCGCCATTTAATGTTTGCGAATTTTGGTTCCATGTGACTAAGTCACGAAATGCCTAAAATGTGAAAAGGCGTATAAGTATATAATGAAGAAACAAAGCGGTTCTAGAGTAAAATTCACGGCTACTTTTATAAAAAAAGGAAGACATCCCATGGGTTTACTGCTGTCCATCCAAGATTCCGTAAATTCCGGATTTGACTTTCAGTTATGCCCCTATCCTATAATGATAGCGTATGGGGTGCGTTCATTGTTTCGCCGGGCAGCTGTGCATATATTACACCGCTAAGCCTTCATTTTAAGATTTGTGTAGCCACGCGGGCTGTTAACTGATCCCGATTGGCAGCGCCAGGGATAGCCCGAGCGAATCACGAATCTGCAGCGGCACGAGTGGAGACCAGGGGAGCTGTTTTCCCACGACTCCACTTCCCGTCGTATCTTGTAACGCGAAATAACTATAGCCTGTGGAGTGAGCCGGGTTGTGGACAGGTTTTAAAATACCCAGAAAGTGTTGTGCCGCGACTTATGGGAAGAAGTGCTTGCAGGCCTAGTAGGAGCACGGTAATTATATGAACTTGGATGATCGCAACGCTCATGGTGTCGTTGCTTGTTGTTGGCTGTTCATCTACGTATATCCTGGTCTGCTCTGCGTCTGGTAACGCAGCTATCTGTGAAGGTGATTGCTGCTTTTCGCCAGTATTGTGTTATTATATGTATATATATATATATATATATATATATATATATATATCAAAAATTTTCGCGACATATGCGTCGGCGACAGTTTTAAGATTTTCCGTATCCATGACTGGGTTTCCTGCCCTCTACTGACCTTGACCTTCCGGCCGTCCGGGGTGGTGATGTCCCTCTCCACGCCCAGGTCGAACTCCTGCTCGGACGTCTTGAATGAGGAGACCTGCTTCATCGACCAGTGCTGGCCGTTGACAGTGACCGTGACGACGGGCGTGAGGGCGTTGGCTGCCTTGCGAGTCACCATGCCCACGCCTGCAACCCACCCCATAGGCTTTGTATCGCATTGTATGGTGCGTCGTCGACGGCGTCTCTAACCTGGCGCCACTCGAAATGAATCAGTGAGGTATGAGGTCACATCGGGTGAGCTGAGATAAGACAGACGCGTGCTGTGATGTAAGGATGACAGGTAGACAGTAGAGGCCGCGTGGCTTTGGAACACCGCAGTCCTGCAAGATGGCGGCTGCTGGGCTTCACGCTCAACAGCGTGGCACGTTGCGCCGCGCAGGGAGGGTATTTAGGCAATGGAAGTCTGCAACCGCGCCAGAATGTGATACGGCGAGCGGCAAACAAACCGCGAGATGCGGTCCCATTCGCGGGATTCGACTCTCTCTGGATCGAATCCACATGGCGCTTTGGTTCATAGGTGATGGCCAATGACACTAACAGGACCGCTGCTCAGAAACGGGTGGAACAAATGTCGAAATGTACCGGGCGCCAAGTCGCCGCTCAGATACGAGTCGGAGCGCTTTCATACAGCATGGAAGTAGTGCAAGCGGAGGAGACTCGCTCCAGTGAGTGCCGCTTTCAACTGGGTGCATACCACCTCGCCCTTTTATCCTAGTTTTAACAAGGCATCACAATCATAAGAAGACGAAGCAGCACATTTCACGACATCAAGTGTATCGCTCTCGCTTGGCCTTGATAGTCTGCGTGTGCTGCCGCGGCCGAGGCAATGGCAGCAGCGTCGGCAGCTGTCGCTCACCCACGGCCTTCATGTACTCGTCGAAGTTCTCGGACGAGACCAGCTTGTAGTCGCCATCGTACTTGACCATCTTGGCTGCCGGGTGCCGGAGAAGGCGGTGCTTGGTCGACGACGGGCGCTTGAGTGACGCCAGAGGGCCGCCGCCAGCGCGCAGGTGGGCTCCGCACCTGATAACACGCGGAGGACGCCGACCAAAGTCGGCCGTCTGGCTCTCCGCCGGCCCCAGAGTACACAAGAGTCAAGTGCGACGGCGTGTTTTTTGCAGCCCTTTTTGTAATGAGATAGCAGCCGCGAGACCTCGAGACCTGTGCACACTTGTTCCATTAGATTGTACGCTTCTACACGAAACTGGCACAGCTTGACAACAGAAACAGAAATTATCTCGTACATACGGACGTTAACAGCACCAGCTTGACATGGATGTGCATGTAGCTTACATTTGGTAATCCGGTGAATTTCGGAGTACATACAAGTCGGGGATGGACCAAGCCTTATTTGAGAAGGTTGGAACTCAGTCAACGAACCATTTTTATAAAAAGTATGACAATCCAGTCTTCACTACTTATGCGAAAGAGGCATTGCATTATTGAATGCAATCATTTTTACAGTTATTCTCAAGTTTCTGTAAGCATAACAAAGTTTGGTTATGCGTTTCATACAGCTGTGATAATTGTGTGGTGGAGTACGAGCGACATAGCTGCGACTGTCTATGCAACTCATTGCAGTTTTATTGTTTATGCCATCAGTATCCGGAGGGAAAAATAACTGTTGCAATGTAGTTACTTTCCATGCTAGGAGTCCATCCCAAACCATAAGCCCTACTTCAAATGTGAAGATCCAGCTCGGCTTCCAACAAAGCTTGTGAAACGTCCGCGCTTCACGCCTCCGGCAGGCATAGGCTTCAATAGTTTGACAAGTTTGGCACCAAATTTAGAGGCATAGCCGAGTTGCCCCGGAGCTGACCCAACATCAGATGTGAGGGTCCCGAGCCTCGCGAGACATGGGTCACTACAACTGGCCGCCTTTGGCCAGTGGCATGCCCACACACACCTTTGCTTGGGTCGCAATCAAAAGCTCACCAATCTACGCGCCGTAGTTGTCTTACCGGCGGCAAGTGAGCAGTAAAGGTGTGGAGGTCATGTTTCTGTGAGGTTATGTCACTTTAGAGAGGTTATGTCTTATTTGCTGGCCCAGTGGTCAGCAAATGACCAAATATATAATGTTTTGATCTTCACACTCCAAGAGAGCATCTTGCTCCAGTCCAGGTGCAACAAAAAGCTTAGCATCCGACGCGGTGTAGTCTATTTACCGGTGATATGCAAGTATGCAGCATGTGATTCAGGGGTATGGTGTCCTATTCAGTTGGGCAGCCCCCCCCCCCTCAACTTGGGAAGAGAGTTGGGGAATGCCGCAGATAAATATGTTTTCTGACATACTTACATAATTTGTTGGCATACAAACAAAAAATTATAGTTGTCGATGCGTATTCTTAAGATGGAAACTGACTTCAGGCGACGTTGCGTCTAAGCGTGCAACACCTTTCCTCCATGTGCCGATAAGTTTGAGATGCTTTGAGCGTGCTAGAGACGCCGTTGAGCTCAGCTGAGTGTCATGTTTACATAACTCGTTGCTTTTAAGGACGACACAACCGACTTGACTGTAAAACCGCTTCTTGAATTAGACGTAAAGTCATGCCGTCACTAGCAGAATCCGTATCTGACCTTAGCATTGGCATGCCATTGATCCATACAGGATTGCATGCTGGCTGAAGACCAAACTCACACGCGTGCGTCAAAAGATTCGGGTACCATCTTCACCATTAAATAGTCATACCTCCCTTATACGCAGATAGGTTACGCACTCCCCGCCCCCCTCCCCCTCCCATAAACACACACGCATCCTCACACACGCACGCGCTCACATGTATTTCCGTCCACGCGACTGAGACTTAGAGGCGATTTATGTTGGAGCTAGTGGCGAGTATTCTGGTGGCTTAAGATATCGCGGTGCGTTTGCGTGTAATGAACGTTAACGTTCAGTCGCCGTGTCGGGATCCACGTTGGTGCTGTAATGTGCTTGTTAGAACTGCCTGTTGTGTCTGGTAATGCTCTACTGGTGCTAAATTTTCCGGTCGGGTGCTAAAAAAGTGTTTATACTGGGTGCTATCATGAGGTGCTTAGAGCAGAGCGGGATGCTACAGTGTAGTGCTAGGGTAGGGTGCATACCCTGGAGCACCTTTCTAGCATCAAATAAGCCGCTTAAAGCGAGAAGTGCAAGGGAACTGGTCTCTGGTGCCTGGAGTATCACGTCGTGCGCGCTTATCTTTTTGCAGTGTAGCTGACCACGAAATGTATTGGCCATAAGGGTCATGACTAATGTTGGGGCTGAACGTCCGGTTTGACTGACCCTATCAGCGGAGATCGAACCTGCCACGCGGAACGCTCTTCAGACGAAGGGTACAACATGGCGGGTGAAACGTGTTGCCCAGGAGCTGCGGAATAGCAGAGGTGTTGTCCAAGAGCTGCGGAATAGCAGACGTGTTGTCCAAGAGCTGCGGAATAGCAGACGGGTGTTATGTAAGCATTGGGCTGACCACTCCTGAACAAACTTGTTAAGTCAATTCGTCTGATTAGAGCTGGCAATGGTTGCATTGAACTGACATAGACTTTACCTGCGCTGGTATATGCTGCTCAAGGATGGAGCTTAGGTAAATATCATTGATAGAATGGCGATATCTGTAATACGAATGCGTACACAGTTTATTGTTTGCCAAACCAGTCCGCCGCGCCCGCTCATATCAACACTGACCGTTCTTTACATGGTTGACAGAGCAGGCCGCTTGCACAGGGCGGCGGTGCGTATCAGATACGAGACCGCACGTGGCGCGGCTGCCGGGTCTGTCCCCTGAGAGCAATACACTCCAAACTGAAGCAGTCAAATATTAGCATGGAGCACAAACTTCAACATTGGAGCACCGCTCCTGCCTAGCCAACACAGAGCGGCTGAGCATCGGACGGCAGCATGGGTCCTGGACGCCACATCAGCGCGATCTCCTTGCCGTGTTGGCCGTTTGGGTCAGGCGTACGAGCAGCGTTGGACACTCATCGAGATGACCAGTTGTGCTGCATGTTTCTTTTTGTTTTGTTGCGAACAACTGCCGACGACCATAAGCATATCTTGAGCACAGTAGCATACGATAATAACTTTTAGCTGAGAAATATTTGAAAGACGTCTCTCGCGGTCTGGGACGGGTGAGATGGTAGCAGATGTGAGAGCCGTCAGTTAACGCGGTGAAGATGATGAAAAACTAAGCTAATGAGCCAGCATCTTTGGAAAGCCATTTGAACAGGTCTGATCAATGTGATAGGAAGTTCGCCTTCCATCGGGGTTTAACAGACGGACATCCATGAAAACCGGGCGACTAAAGGCTAACTCGGTCTTGACCGCTCATCTCTGAGTAAGCCGTGTGCGCTCTGAGTTTAAAAATGTTTTCCTACTTCCCCAGTTTGCCAAGCGTTCCAGAACAGATCTGATGAGTGCGGCGAGCCTAGAGAAGGCCGCTCGTCGGTGGTCTGCACCTGCGACCCCCGTTACCAGCCTAGCGGCCGCGTCTCTGCAGGGGCGGCGCGGGCTGATACAGCTGCCGATCCCCCAGCTGCGCCGGTTCGCGCAGCGGCAACGTCCGTCGACGCACGTGGCGCGCTGCGACGTCTGCGACGCGTGAGTCAGCGCCGGCCGCCCCGCCGCGACGCCGGCCGTGAGTCACGGCCTTGGCTCACCAATTCGGCCACCAGCCGCTGTGATTGCGGGAAGTGGCGAGCCGGGCGGAGCGGCGCCGCAGATGGCAGCACGGTCGGCCTCCTCCCGCTCCTGTCCGGCGGGAGCCCTCGCCGCCGACGCCGCCGGACGCGGTTCGGGTGTCCCGGTCGTCGTTGGGTAGCCAGGGCCGATCGGGACGCCGCGGGCGTGTGCTCGACTTCCCGGCGCCCCGATAGACCAGACAAAGTACAAGAGCAAAGTACACCACTTGAGTGCGCTCGGTTGACGGTCGAGCGCCGGGATGTCGGCCCGGGCGTCCGGCCCCTGGCGACAGCCGCCGTTCCCGGCGCCCCCTGCCGATCCCTACCGGCTCTTCGTCGTCCATCGCGGCCCGGCGGCCCGGCGCAGACGCACCGCAGTGTGGAGAAGCGTCGTTGGGTCACGGTCGGCCCCGGTCGGCTCGTGTCGACCCCGATCGGTCCGATCCCTCCGACCCCTGATCACTTCGGTCGAGTCACCACGACATGACGCCTCCGGGCAGAGCACAGAACGCCGAGTCACCCACCACTCGTGATGGCCAGCGGCCGAACGCCGAGTCACCCACCACTCGTGATGGCCAGCGGCCGAACCGTGAGCCATACACCACTCGTGATGGCCAGCGGCCGAACCGTGAACTATCCCACCACTCGTGATGGCCAGCGGCCGAACCGTGAGCCACACACCACTCGTGATGGCCAGCGGCCGAACCGTGAGCCACACACCACTCGTGATGGCCAGCGGCCGAACCGTGAACTATCCCACCACTCGTGATGGCCAGCGGCCGAACCGTGAGCCATACACCGCTCGTGATGGCCAGCGGCCGAACCGTGAGCCATACACCACTCGTGATGGCCAGCGGCCGAACCGTGAGCCATACACCACTCGTGATGGCCAGCGGCCGAACCGTGAACTATCCCGGCACTCGTGATGGCCAGCGGCCGAACCGTGAACTATCCCAGCACTCGTGATGGCCAGCGGCCGAACCGTGAGAGAACCCGGCCGGGCTGGCAAGGCCCGGCGTCAGGTCCACGAGGGTTTTAGCGCCTGGCTCATTGGGACTACGGCCGGCTTTAGCGTCCGACTCACGGAGATCACGGCTGACTTTAGCGTCGAACTCAAGGAGACAACGGCTGGCTTTAGCCTCCTGTTCACTTGGCGCACAGCCGGCTTCAGCGGCGGTTTCTCGGGGACAACGGCTGGCTGCAGTGTCCGGCTCACGGGAATCACGGCAGGCTTCAACGGCCGGCTCATAGGGATCACGGCTGGCTTCAGCGTCCGGCTCACGGGGATCAGGACTGGCTTCATTGTCCTTCTCACGGGGATCAATGCTGGCTTTAGGGTCCTACTCACTAGGATCATGGCTGGCTTCAGCGTCCTGCTCACGGGGATCACGACTGGCTTCATTGTCCTTCTCACGGGGATCACGGCTGGCTTCGGAAGCCCCACGTGCCATGGCTCGCTGGTTAACGTCCCGGCTGAGCCGCGTCCAGATGTCAGAGTTGGGTCAGGTAAGCCGTTTCAGCAGTACTAAAGCAGGCACTATATCCAAAACTCGCATGAAACCACTGGCGTCCAATGGACGAAGCGCCGAGATGGTGTCTTCAATGGAGCACCGATGAGCACTGTCCCTTACGGCCTTTGTCTGCCTTGCATGCCTTAGCTTTCTCACACTGTCATTCGTCCTGACTCCCTCTGTGAGTGAGGGCTGTCCAGTCATGAAGCTACGCCGATTACCCATCATTACTGGCCTAGCTCACGGGCGTAGACGGGATTTTCTTACTGGAGTGTTCCACATTTGCATAGGGTTTTGAGCTGAAATAGCTATCCTGAAGATCATTCGGTGCAGTTCATAGCTCCGTCCTTTTCAAAACTCAAACATTCTTGTTTCTGAACTACACACCCTCGAAGATGTGCAGACTTTTTCCGGGGAGACTCTTTCAAGGGCACCCAGGAATCTATGGTGTCACAATAACAGCGATCACAAAACTCGCACCATTGCGTGGCTATGCGGTTTGCAATGCCAAGAAGGGTATAATTGCTGAGTCCTCCATATCTGGCATTAATGAGCACGATTTCCGGGTAAAATGGTCGTTAATTGGTTCTCAATCAACGTTGCGCAAGGTACGATGACACGATCAAACGGTGGCATATTGAGGAGCATACTTACTTAACATGAATTGTGTTGTCCAGATCATTTTCCACTTAAAAGTATATAAAGACTATAGGCGAGCTTATGGCATTATATCTGATGCTGACTTCAACATCTTTAAGTGTGGAATATTCCCTTTAAGGCGTGAGGGGGCGAAGCTCAGCGAGGGCTCGGCATAAGCACACCGAAGAAAATTACAAATTTGTACTATCTGGACGTTTTTTCATTGGTGATGGATATCTGTAACAAAATTCACTTTTCGTCTTTAAACTAGCTGCAGCCCGCCACCGGCCACGGCGAGCACATAACCCCCCTACCAGCCGACCGTCGTCTGTAACTTGAGCCAGACTTAACGCCTTATATGCGCCGCGCCACAGACGGGCCGGGTTATGTGCAGCTACTAGGCGCCTAGGACACTGGGAGATGTGGGTCATCATTCAGACTGAGTCATCTGGCCGGCTGGAAATTAAAACAGCGCCATTTTTTTCGCTATCAACATACTAGCAGCAATGTGATTCGATGCTTCCTATTGCAAGTCCCTCTCATCGTCTAACCAGGCAACCCTTGCATCAGACAGTTTCGGAGATCGCAATGTGATCACGCTCTCTGTGAAGGCTTTTTTTGGCCTATTAGTGCAGCCCACCGTGCGATGTTATATAGTTTCAGGACACAATATCGCATAATTCCGTACCCCGCCGTCGTGACTGTTTCTGTTTAAAAGCAAGACATGCCGCGAACCGCCCGCTGCCGTGTATGCTTATTTATTCTTTTTGAAGACGAGCGGAAGCACAAGACTAACGTTGGTTGCACGTGTGAGCTCTATGTTGCGGGATGGATGTGGTGAGAGCGAGATACTGGCCAAGATGAGCTCCAGGCTTGAAAATGCATCTGTGTCTGACTCGCGAGAAGGACTGGCACAAACGGGCTCGACACTGGCATAGCTATCTCGCAAGCAGTTAGAAATCTGCTACAATATCACTTTACTGTCCAATCTTGAGTGAACGGTGGTAGCTTTCTGTCAGGAGCCATCTACGGTGCCAGCATTCAAGACGCGGGCCTGGTGGAGAAGAGGCCTCGAACACTCTTCCCTACCCTAGCCCTCTGTCTGTGTCTTTGCTTAGCTTGTGTGAGTTCCAGCTTCTGCGCTCGCCTGTATACCCCCACAGTCTTTGGCGGGTAGTCCCGAAGACTTCACCACTCTGTTTATTTGGCGCACACAAGCAATCCGGCCACGTCTGAGCCCGGCCAGTCGGGAACAGTCGGCCACACCGGAGAAGCTGAACTTCCAATCCGTGTAGGTATGCACGTAAGTATTACGTATGTGCATTTCCGGGGTTACGTATCACGTATGTATATATACACATGAGTATTCCGTCGTTCCGTGCTCGTTCCGCGATGTGAACATTACGCACGCTAGCTGCCATAGCCCAGCCAAAGTACACCAGATCGTGACAGGCCACTCCTCCCAGTGCTAGTGTGGGTAGTCAATGACCACGTATTATTTTGAGCCGGTATGAAGGCTGGTCTTAGATA